TGATACAATAGGGCGGAAAGGAATACCTTTTTATGAATTTTGGGAAGAGCATATAATCTGGCACAATTCGCAACAGATGGGATAAGCGAATGTTTTAAGTTGCTTGAAATGATTTGCGAAGATTTGATCGCAGTTTTTATTTTGGATAAGTCCGAAGGTGAAGGATCTTTAGGGATCGGATTATATGGTCCTTCGTTTAAGAGTTTAGTGACACCATCGATGTAAGTGTTCTTATCCATGACGACTATCTGGCCACCTTTGTCGGCCTTTGAAATGATAATATCCGGGTTAGAATGAATTTCGCGCATTGTAGCTCTTTCTCTCGCAGTTAGATTTGGTTTCAAAAGGTTTATTATTGAATTTCACATTATGAGCGATAAGATGCCTAATCATTTCTTTCTGTGAATCTGAAACTTTACTGAACTTGAAAGCTTTTTCGATAGGAGCCAAAATCTTTGGAATCGAGGGTTTACAGGTTTGTGAGAGAAGTTAAAATTATATTTTAGAATTCTCTCTTGTTCTTCTGAAAGACTAACCTTAGAAATATTAACTATTGGCTTGATGTTTACAATGGGAAGATTTTTTGAACTACTTGAACTGGAAGACTGACTGTAAAAGAAGTTTTTCGAATTTAACTGCAAGGGTGTTTTTATGACGGTTAACTGCATTCTCCGTTCTAGACCAAGACTTTTGTTCAAGGGCAGTGAATTTTGGATATGATTTAGCGAGTTCCAGATGAAGCTTATAGAGTTCATGTTCAATTTTGGACAATTGTTGACGTGTATCCCTTATCACGGACCGAAAGTAAGGCAAGCTTGCAATTTAACAGAATTCTTGAAACGCGACTCGAAGGTTTTTGATTAGATTTGATTTGAATAAAAATTGGGGATCAATTTTTTACATTTACATTTAAGTAAAAAGTCAAGATGATTCAGGAATTTTTGCCGTTTCAGGCGTAATTTAGTGAAACGATTAACGGATGAAGGCATGATAAACAATGCAGAAAATCAAACTAAATTAACTGAGCAATAATAAAGTACACACAAAACAGCAGAAAAATCCCTCACTGAAATGAATAGAAAACAAAACGTTTGTAAGCAAAATGCATGAAATCAGACAAGCAAAGCACAATATCCAAATGTACAAACATAAACATAACTTGAAAATTGCAAAAAATGTACTCACCGAAACTCCTACAATCACAAAATGGCGGCCACACCACGTGCAAAAAAGAAAGCAAAATGTAAGCCTGTTTGGGGCTTCTATAATTAAGACACAATAACACGCCGAATAAATACTAATTTCAGAAGTCAAACAACAAAAATCAGCGTTATACCTACAAAAATTTTCACAGGACTAGTTTCGATGGTTTTACCGAACCATCATCTTCAGCTGCAAAACCGCAAATGAACAAGATAGGAAATAATGATTAGATAAGATAAGAAAGCCTGGACAAGAATAAGCAAGTGGCGCCATCTGTTGGCGAAACCAGAACTAAAACATAATTTCTCTAAAAGCCGAAGGCAAATTTGGATTGGAATTAGGATCGTTAACTAGAAACAGAAAGATTTTTATGAATGTGAAATGCCTCTAGAAAATCCAGTTCTCCAATGGAAGATGTTTTTTGAATAATTTTGGCAGCAGAAAAATTGAAAGTGTGATTTTCGGACCAACAATGTTGAGCAACAGAAGACTTCTGTGTTTCCTTTTTTCTAACATATGCCTCATGTTCTTTGACGCGAAATTTTAAGGCTCTCTTAGTTTGGCCAATGTAAATTAAACCACACTGGCAAGGAATCCTATAAATACCCAGGAATTCATATCCGGAATGGGGTCCTTGAGTATAGAAGTTGGAATTTTATTGATGGGGAGAAAAAACATTCTAAATATATGTTTGAAACAACTGAATTAATTTATTCGACATACTTATGTGTCTAACATATATAAATATATACTTTTCACTGTTCCGGTTTTGGGATCCATCATACAATTTTTTGTTTTATTACTTGATACAGACGAATGGCGACGGCGAACAATTTGGTCTCATGGAAAGCTTAGAAAATTATCTTTAAGAAGAAAAAAAATGTGAGTTGATAAAATTTAACAAAGGCTATTGTTTCGGGGGCCAGGCTTTCCTCCTATTGCTGCTTCCAACCTGTAGGACACAGGTTTTACCTCCACAGGTCATCATTGAAAGCGTAATTTGGCAAGAATTATAGATGCAGAAGCCACTCTTCGGTGCAGGCTATTTTACGTTGCTACGTCTACGATGCGGCTGCCCTCCAAGCTGCACGGAAAGTTGACATCTTTTTATTTTTCTTGTGCTTCGAAGGTTCTCATGAAATTTCTTTTCTCCGTCTCTCTGGCTCCGTCAGAAAGAAAAAAAAAAAAAAAAAAAAAAGGTTTAATCGAAAATCCTTTCTCCGCCTCTCCTCTCGAAAACACTGCGCAGCCACTTTAATAGCTGGCACGTTTTTTTGAAAATTTGGCGTAGAAGGTGAACAGCAACAAGCCAAGTCCAGCAACCCAAACAGAGAAATCTTCACAGGAAGGGGTTTCCCCACTACCAGAAGAGCCAGTTAGCGCAGTTCAATCATTCGGCCTCCAAGGCCACACCGATGTGTCAACATTCTCCGCAGACGAAAACAAGGGGCATTTAGCCTCGCATCGAGGCTCAACTCGACCATGTAAAGTTTCCTATCCAACGATTATTTCCCCCTCTTCACAAATTCGCTGTAGAACCTTTCCCTGCTAGCGCTGTCACAGCAACCGGGGTCCTCTTTAAGTGAAACTTCAGATGGTGTATACATCCAACACGTCATCCGACATGTGGTTTTTCGTTTGAGCGAAAGAATTTCAGGGTGCAGTAATTCTCTGATAAGGGATTCTGAGAATGAATTCCAAGCCGACGGTTGGGATGTGAAAATAGTCAGAACCAGTGAATATTTAGTCAACACAAATGGGACATTAAAAATTAAACTATTACATAACAATATCATTCATTAAAAAATGTCATCACTATATAAATTGTTTCTTCAGCAGCCTTTTAAGTATACATACTGATCAATTACTATTGATTTACCTTACCGCCAATCAGAAAATATGTATTCGACAACTTTAATAGAAAGAGAGGTAAAAAATTAAGTTAAAAAAAATTAACACACTAAAAGTGCATCAACCAAAACTTTAATTAAAGTTAAAAGTTAAGTATCCTTAAGGGTTAAAACAAAAGTACAAAAACCAAGTAAACTTAAGTCCCTAAATTCAAATTAAAACTAAACAACTTAAGAAAAACTTTTTGGAAAGTTACTGTTTAAACTTACACAAACTTTAAACAACTAAAGCAAAAATTAAGAGCTTCAATTACTGATCAAAACTGAAATAGTAAGCAAAACTTAAGCTTGAAAATAATAGCAATTAATCCATAACATTAGTATCTGAATAGAACATGTGGAAAAATTTTGTGCATTCTGAGTTAAAAAATGAATGAAATGTAACGCTGTTAAGTGAACCTAGCGCCAGAGTGTCGCTATGGTAAACAATATAGTGAATTTTAAAGAGCGAATTTATTCTATTTTAGTTTATGCGCTATCGACGAAGTAGATTTTATTCAATCCAATAATTTTAAATGAAATGCAAGGGAAAATGCGTCTAATTTAATATTCCGTACAAGGAAGTCATGTGGTGTACACATCAGATTTTTTTATCATGAAATATTACAATTGAATAATTTAAGATGGTTAATAAGCAACTTTTGGATGACGAGAAACACAGTGATTTTTCTGGGAACAGGGATTCATTTGAATATAATCTACCTCCTGTTGATAACTTTGACTCAGATTTTAATTGTATTCCTTTTCTGATTTTGTGTTTATATATTTATATATTTCTTTTTTGGGGGGGGGGTTATTTGGTTTAAAAACACTAAGTTGATGTTTTAACTTGGTGTTTTTAAACCAAATGAAATTGGAAGATTTTGGGATTTACTGTTTTAAATTTCTTTTCTTTAATGCCGATGTGGATTTGGTTCTGAATTTCTTACTATTTTATCTATCACTGATTAATTTTTCAACTGAATATTGCGCGGAAAATAATATTGGGATATTTTTGTTTTAAAAACATTTTGTGACACTGTTTTACATATATATATTCGCCTTCCTTCCCAGTTAGGGGATTTTAGGTGGCAAGAAGTTATCTGATCAGCAAAATTTTCAATAAAGCATCATTCTTTATTAAACTATCATAAAAGAATGAAAAAAGAAAAAAAAGAGCTAATACTTTTAAATTAGGGATTAGCAATAGCAAACAAAGCATGAAATAAAAAAAAATAATGTCTTTTAAAACTTTGCTTGAAAATGTATTAGTTACAAAAGTGTTGTTAAACGGGAAAAATGTTTTTATTTATTTAGACTAAGCTTATTCCCTTCTTTTTTAATGCCTCTTTCCGATAAATTATTTTTTGATCTCACATATACTAATAATATGCATATAAGAAGTATAAAAAAATTCTCAATATATATTACAGTATTATATATTTAATATTCGTTAGCAAACTTAATTTTGTTGGGTTAATTTTTCAATCACTTCTGTGATTTCATTATGGCAAAGCATACTAATTTACCTGCCTATGGAAGAGAGATACTTTCATGAAGAATTTCTAAAGTGGTTCGCATTTACTTTATTCATTAGGTAAACTATGAAATCTTCATGCAACAGCCAAAAGTAAGACTCGCTGGAAGCCTTGCTCATTCTGAGAATAAAACTTCAAAAACTTTGTTTCTGAATACAAAATGATTTAAAAGTCTTCCTTGTAAACTGCTAGAAGTTTACAAGGAAGACTGAAGAAATAAATAATCAAACACTAAAACCGATATTGACTTTTTTGTTAATTATCACTTTATCTCCAAGACTGTGAAGGACACGTTTTGTATATAAGTACAAATTCCAACTTGATTCTGTTGAAGATAACTAAGTCAGAAGCGGTACAGGAATGACTTAATTTGAAGTGAAAGGAAACTTCGTGAGTTTTCTTAGCCCAAATATTTGATGATTCCTATAGTAAGCTGTAAAAGATTTCCTCAACTGGAAGTTTTCAGTTTTGTCTCTCGCCTTCAAGATTAGTGAAAGGAGATAAAATGAAATTCATTATCTTGGATAAAATTAGGAAACATTATTCTATTTGAATTAAAAAAGGTATTGTGTTTTTATATTATAAGGAAGAATTCGGTTTTAATTAGTTGAGCATCCACAATAATAATAATAATAAAATATAAAGTATTTATTTTAAGGTTTGGTTGAAATCTGGGGGATAATTTCCACAGATGTGCTCTTAATTCAGGTTAAATTTATCTAAGTAATTAAAAAATGATTCTGAGAGCAGAATAACTTGCTATAAGTTGATTAAAATTACGTTTAATCTACTGACTTTTCTATCAAAACATAATTGCAAAAATAAATTTCGAAATTGAAATGAATGGAGATTCTCAAAGATTACTAAATTCTGGTCAGAGGGTTGAGCATTTTTAAGTTTTGTTTATTTGCATAAAGACTATTTGTTAGTTTAAATTAACAGTAATTTGTATTGTTGTAATATGTATACATTGATGGGAGAATTCTAAACTGGAAATAATTAGCATTTCTTCTCTCATTTCCTGAAGTTAAAAAAATAACTAATCAACTTATCATTTGTAATACTTATTCAATTTAATCTTTAATCTATTTCGTCAGTTGATTTGTTTGATACCGCAAAGCACGCGAGAGCTATGTAGCTAAGAGGAATGACGCTTTCCTGAAGAAATTTAAGGGAAACTTTATGGGCTTGTGCAAAAGTTCTTAAGTTTTTAAGCTTGCACAAGCAATTGTATGTACTTGTGCAAGCTTAAGAACTTTAATGGGCTCGTATCTCCATTACATATGCGGAAAATCATGAAAACGTCCTTGCAGCCAGCCCATTTACCGGGATTTGAAGCCAGGCCAAACTACTACAGTTCAGTGACCTTACAGCTGGGTAGTTGATGAGTCACCATTCCATTGAATCCTGTTTATTGCAAGCAATAACGGGATATCGGATTAACGGAAGTTAGAAATATCTGAGCTTTTGATATGATTTCTCTAAATTTGCTTTCTTTTTAAATAGTTTGCACATACTTTAAAAATAACAGGTAACTTGGTAAAAGTATCTTTTTATAACAAATAAAGTATAATCAAATGAATATTTTATATAAAGTGCTTGAACAAAGTGCGATAAAAAAAGCTTTCTAATTTGTATGCATGTATGTTAAAATTAATGCTCTCCCTCAAATTTTTCTTAATTCGTAATTTCTTTCTTCTCTCTCTCTCTCTCTCCCTCCCTCTCTCTCTTTTTTTTTAAAGCCAAACGGGCGTTAATATAGAAGGGCTATTAATTTCATTTTGTCATTTTACGTTGGTTGTCTATAAATGTCGGTTCACTTTTCAAATTGTTGCCACCAAATATTAGAGCCCTGCGTTATATTTAAGGAAATTAAATAATGAAGAATCTGCATAAATGTATGTATGTTTCTCGCATTGTGATAAAACAACGGTACCTAGAGCCATCAAAATTTGAATAACATAACCTTCCATAGAATATGGGCACGGGGAAGACCGAGTTTGAAATTGGTTTTATTATCGATTTCATATTTTGTAACACTTTAACGAATTTTTGATTAACAAACTCCGCGATTTCAAACCGAGCAATGGCAACACTATACAGGAGAGAAAAAAAATATCTCCAGCGCGCGAGACTGTGTATCGAAAATTCTAAAGATAAGCTCATTTTAAAATTATTTTGCGACATTGCTGTTGAACTGAATTTTATAGTTTAAGTGCAAAGAACGTGATACTTAATAAATAAAGGTAACGCACAAAACGTTAAAGCAACGCCCTTTTGGACGTCATGTAAAATGTGAAAGCTTTCAGATTTTATTTAATTTTTATATATTATCGTTGCTTGTTCTTTTTAGCCCAAAAGGCGTTAGCCCAGAAGCGCTATTGATTTCGTTTTGGCATTTTGCGTTAATTCACTTTCTGCTAATGGCAAAACTGTACGAACAAAAAATTATCTCCAGCGAGAGATTGTGCATCGAAAATTCTAAAAGATATGCTCATTTTAAAATTATTTTGCGATACTGCTATCGAATTGTATGTTATAGTTTAAGTACGAAGAACATGATATTTAATAAATAAAGGTAACAACAAAACGTTAAGAAAAAAAGCCCCTTTGGGGGTAATGTAAAATCTGAAATCTTTCAATTTTTTTTTTTAAATTTATAATTTTTCTTTCTCCCCTTTTCTCTTTTTTCTGCCCTGAATTCCGTCATTTCAATAGTGTTGTCCGCAGTCTCAAAGGAGCAGTTTGAAAAATGATGAAAGGCTTTAGCTATCTAAGTTTTATACAAAGAACTCTCTGTTATGCATAATTTTAATTCTGATTTAACTTCATATGCAGAATGTTCCTTTATAGACTTTCCTTTAATATTTGTCTATTAATCGCATTTTTCATTAGTTATATAGATTTCCTACACTGTATTTGCGTATCCCTTAAAATTTCTTTATTTATCCCGCCTGCATGAAAAGTAAAAAAAAAAAAAAGTTATATTGACTTACATATTACATACTGAGTTCAGTCACTTAAATAAGTTTTATGTTTTAAACGCATCTATTTCGAACTCTTTTCACTCATATGTACGACAGATGTTATGTCATCGTGTTTTTAAACAATGCAGTCCAAACATATCACTTATTTTTATATTCATTTTTTCTTAAATTCTCACTAATTTATCTTTTAGCATTTATATATACACCTTTCTTAATTTAATGGCTTAGAATTTATTTTTTGTCGTATCTGATGAGATTTAATGGCTCCAATATTTTTAATTTCAGAAATTAAGTTTTAAAATCCAGAAATTAATTTACTCCTAATTTTTCAATTTAAGCTTCTAAACAGACGATTACTGTACAAAGTGGTAAAGTGGTAAAGGTTTTTATTTAAGGCTGTAAAAGAAGCATGTAAGGGTAGTCATGTTTACAAATTTACGATGAACTTTAGGATGATAAAATTTAGGCAGTTTCAGCTACAGAATTGTTCTCATTTTTCTTCTTATTCTTTATTCATGCAATCTAAACATTTCACTCATAAATTCGCTTGCTTATACTTAGATTACTGATAACTTAGATTACTGATAACTTTGTACATGCAATTAGTCATTATTATGTCTGAGTGTAAGAAAAGCAACAGTAACTGACGTACAATTTAATTTAGCAGAAGCGCTTTCAACAATTGAACATTATCGCCTTCTTCATCTGCAACTAAAGCAATAAATTAAAGACAAGTAGAGTGTTCGGTCGACTGTCCGGGCTAATGCCGGGGAAGCAGGTCACGGAGGATTGAAAAGCACCTAAAATCCAAAGTATCAATTTCCATTCATTGCACATGTTTAAATCTTTTAAGAAAATTGGGAATTTTACTTTGTTTTTGAGAACTTTTAAATATTTTAAATATTTGTCGAATTGCACTGCGCATTTTTCGAAGTGCTATTTTATCATTATGCTGGAATACTCTTTGGCCGAAGACGTCCAAGGATTTCAACAAAAGTTATTGCTGTCTCGGGTCTAATATAATTGCAGTATGTTCTTCGCTTGGTTTTTGCTTTAATATTAAAACAACTTCCTTGCACTGAGTACTTGTAGTATGTTCTTTATTAATTTTTAATTCTAAAATTTTAAATCAATTTTTTAAAGAGTAAGAAGAAAATACGCACAAACATAAGTTTGAAATAAAAAAGTCCCAGTGATCAACAGAAACGATGTCTTCGACTCTGAACATTGCAGAACGAATTGTACGAGTAATCATTGAAAGCAAATCCCCTAAAGACATAATTCAGCGATTTATAGAGCCTGGTCGGACTTGCTCGTGCTTGTTCTTACTATTGGCACAGCTCAAGTGTGCGTTGCGTGTTCACTGCCAAAAAATGATAATCCGCACCGTGATAATCGAGAGTCCACTGTTCTTCAAAAGTAGAAACTCTGATGTGCACACCACATGATTTCCTTGTACGGAATATTAAATTATACGCAATTTTCCTGCATTTCATTTAAACATATTGAATTAACAGTTAACGAACTTTGAATAAAATACACTTCGTCAATAGCGCATAAACCACAATAGAATAAATGCCCTCTTTAAAGTTCACTACATTTATTTACCATAGCGACACTTCGGCGCTAGGTTCACTTAACAGCGTTATATCTCATTCATTTTATAACTCAGAGTGCACAAAAATTACATCATCTGAAGAATTACCACATGTTCTATTAAACAATGTTCAATATTCAATAAATCTAAAACAATATATAAAAGAAATTAAACAAATATAAAAGAAACAGTTTTTCATTGACGATGCAGCGCCGCTTACCTAATGCGCATGCACTACTAATTAATAACTAAGTGATAACTGATTACTACTAATAATCAGTTTTCACTTGGCGGCAAGGCAAAAATGCATAAAAATTCAAAATATTTTCATTAAAAACTGAAAGCTATAGAAAAACATAAAACACCAAGTACAATTAAAACAATTAAAACTACAGTTTCTGCGCAAAAAAAAGAACTAATAACTTAAATGATAATTACAGAATCAATTAATCATAATTTAATTCGCAGTAACAAAAGATGACATTACATTGTTGTTGTGAAGCTTAGTCTCTCTAGATTGGCAACAAATCCACTATTCTGCTAAGTTTCACATATAAACAAATATGGCTGCTATGGTAAAAAAATTAGACTTAGCCGCACTCAGACAACTTTTAGACTGTTTATATTTTTTACAAATATAACATGCAAGTTAACGAAAGGCATAAAAACCTTAACCGGAAGATAAGAACAACATAATTCAATCATTTTTAAAGCAAAAAATGCACAATTTACAAACATATAAGAATGAAGCACTGAGCTCACTGAGGCGAGTAACAGAGTGGAAATATATATATATAGATACTTTTGTGAGGCCCAGATTGCAACCAAAAATGGGAATGCACATCTACATGTTATAGAGTCCTATGTACAAAAATTTCACGTTCTGAGGCTACTCGTTTTTGAGTTATGCGAGATACGTACGTACGACGTACGCACAGATGCCACGAAAAATTCTCTTAGAATTCATTTTAAGCAGTTT